CTTTGATCAATCTTTTAAACAAAAACTTCACTAAAAACAGTAGCAAAAGAAAAGTGAGACCGACCTCAGGTTCGAATTTTCCGCCTTCCGTTACCTTTTGTCAAGTTTTTTGGAGAACATTAATAATTAATAACCAGTTAATAGTTAATTAATTAAAACTAACCTTGGATTCGGATTCCCCACCCTCAATTACCTTTGGTCAAGTTTTATGGAAAATATTAATAATTAACAATCAGTTAGTAATTAATTAATAATTCATGAATTAAAACTGTCCTCGGATTTGAACTCCTCACCGCTGATTATCTTTGGTCAGGTTTTATGGAAAATAATCCTTTTTGTTTTCACATTATTCTTGGACCAATCACCGAAGTGCGGACATACAAGCAAGCAATCAGACAATTTATGTTTGCTAGACGCTTCCCTACGAGAAAGAGAAAAACAAAATTTCGAAAAAAGTGATCCTTTGTGTAAAAAAATGGTTCAGAAAAAAAAATTTCAAAAAACTGATCTCAGATTCGAGCTCCTCGACCTCGATTATCTTTGGTTGAGTTTTATTTGAAAGAACCCTTTTTGTGTCGAGATCGTTATTCGACCAATCAGTGCATTGCGGACACACAAGCAAGCAAGCAAGCAAGCAGACAATTTATGTTTACTGGACTCTTCTCTACGAGAAAGAAAATAAGATCTCCGTCACTTCCGTTATATGGGCATTTCCAAGCTATTTAGGTGACGTAATTTCAATCGTTTTTGGCTTGACAATGATTGTCTTTTCTATACCTTTTTTTTCTTACTCCATTGTCTGCCTTTCATTAGGAAGGAAGTGTGTGAATTAGGCTGTTAAAGCATATGATGTCTGTGTGTTATCATTTTTGTGTTGCCGGAATTGTTCATTCTGAAATACAGAATGAGACATGTTTTCAAGACTTGTCCTGTTCAAAAGGGGATGTGGGTGCGTGTGTGGGTGTCTATAGCTATTGCTAAGGTGAAGCTATTCACCCACACTCACATCCATCCCCCACACCCACATACACACATCTTTCGACGAAAGACTTTTGTCTTCAGAAATCATTATAAAGCAACAATAAAAAATATTCAATATAAAGAAATTGAAGAGCAACTCGAGTCGCACCAAACTAAATTTATAAAATAGATTTGATAAGTTCTATTGGAACATTCTACGAATGATGGTCTTTATCAGTAACGAAATTACATACGTAAAACATTGTAACTGGGGTGTAGACATTAAGTACATGAAAATTTGAGAACAACTTCGAATCCTAGGTATAATATGATGCGGGACAATGTAATATCGAAAACGACATAAACAATCTATTGATTTGAGATTGGTGACAAACTCCGATGTTTTTTTTGTTAATAATCATCCACAGAAGAAGCATTCAAAACGATATATTATTAAATAGGTATATGTCTTGAATACGTAAATCATTTCGAGTGTTTCTTATCAGATTAAATTTTATCATAAAAACAAATTTATCTGTTGGAAATAATAGATTTGAATTGATGCATTATTATTGATGAATTAGGTTTAGCTGATAGTTCATCAAAAACTTCTGGTTCTAATGAAATATTAGTTTGACTTATTTTTAACGCATTGACTTGTTCACGAATTTTTTTTCCATTAATAGGTAATCGATAGACACTTCCAACTAAAGGAAATATAATTTTAGGTTTGAGTGCATCTTTTTCATTTTTTTACTGTTTGCTTAAATAAATTTATTTCTTTCATAAAATCTTTTATCATTTGTTCAAGGTTTTGAATAATATCATTATTTTCACAACCAAAATTTTTTTTCATTTGTTCTTCTTCTATAAAAACTCTAATATATTTTAACATATTGTCATTTATTGGAATAATTGCATTTACATGAAAAACTTTTGAAAGTTTTTTATATAATTATCTTCTATTTTGGCTTTTTCATCTTCTAAATCACTAATTCCTTTATCAATATCACTTGATGAGCATAGATTGTTAAGACGGCGAACATTAGTTTCATATTCATATGTTATACAGTGATGCTCTTTTCATGAACCACCACATTTTGTACATTTACCCACAAAACGATTTTAAAATACCAATAAAAATAAAGTCAAACCAATTCAAATAACTTATCTCAAATAACAAACTTCATTGATTAATACATGAGTTGTAATATTCAATAGATTCTCATTCATAAATGCTCCTATTCATAGATCGATTGATGTTGGCAAAAGTAAAATTCGCTCTAAAATGATCAGTCCAATCCGAGATTGAACGAATTTTAGTATAGTTGCTAATTTAGATATAGATTTATGTGAGATTTGATCAGTCGAACTTTCATCATAGAATAAATCATCGCATCGACAAATGTTATGAAGAATATATTTATCTATCAACGATTTCCTGAAAGTTAAAAAGATGAATAATTTTTAAAAAAATTGAATAATGATTTGAACAAGTATTGAAACATTTTACAATGGTTAAAAAGATTCTTTTTTAAAGATAATAAAAATGATTTAAGATTAGACATGCACCAGATCCAAACTGTTTGAGCTCGAATATCTCGGGCTCGACTTGAAGTCCCGATTCGAGCTCGAAGCTCGATTGAGTTCAAACTCGAATATACATACTCGAATTCGATCAAGCTCAAACATCAAAAGCTTGAATTCGATCGAGCTCAAACACCAAAAGCTTGAACTTGATCAAGCTCAACAATGGATGAATAAAGAGCTACTTTTCCATGAATCAAGAACAGTAACTGATAGAGGTGCATCAAACCCAAATCCTGTCAAATCCAAACATGAGATTCGACTGGATTTGGGTTTGAATTTGACTAGATTTGACTTGGATTTCACTAGTGAATTGGAACCATAGGTAATGAGGATCAAGAAATCCGAATCTGCAATCAACTATGGAAAATTTTGAGTTTAATTTTTTTGCAAGAAATTTCTTTTACAATTTTTTTTTTATTAAAAAGATTATTGCTCCAATAAGAAATCATTTTCTTAGCAAAAAATGTTGTTTTTGTTAGAAACCATATCTTAGTAAAAAAGATAATATTTTTTCCATCAAAATTTCTACAAAAATGTTCTTTTTTTTATAAAAACAACGTTTTTTGCTAACATGATTTTTTTAGTGAAGCAACTTTTTTTTATGAAAGAGCATAAATTTTTGTGAAAAAAAGTTTTTGGCACAGCATCAAACTCAAAATTTCAAAAAACCGAGTACACTCTGATCGGACATGAATGGATATAAACCAATATAGATTAGTTATCGTCAGTATTGCACGCGTGTTCTCCACATGCGATTTGAAATTGAGGTGTTCGCTCTTAATAATTTCTGAAATACAACCCCTTTACGATGAAAGTCACTTTTGCAGTTTGAACTCTACTTTCAAAAAAAATTCAAAGTTCAGATCAGGAATATTGTTTTCACTTCGAAATTGCGGCAGATACCCTAAAGGGTCTTCCTATTATTTTAGACAAAGTGTGAAGGTTAACCACTATAACTCTCAAATAATCTATTGAAAATGAACACTCATTATCGAAAGATGCATAGATTAATAACTATGCAAGACCAAATATCATCCGTTCTCTGATACCTTCTTTGGTTGGTATGGTTCGTAGTTAAAAAAGAAATTAATAATTCAAGCGTAAGGACAACTATCCATAAATTCAATATTGTCAAAAAGATTTCCCACTTATTGGAAATTCGACTTATTTCAACTAATTTGCTTTTTTTTCTACTTGTCATATACTTGCACGTATAGTGAATAACACAGCTGTTATCAGCGGATAAAACTACCTTGTTATATCTTGCCATCCTCCTTGCAGACAAAATCCTGTTGTTTTGTTCTATGCCTACAAGCTCCGAACTTTGCTCTTTAAAGAAAATATCGAAGTTAATATTATGCCAAATTGTTGATAAATAGACTTTGACATTCTTCCAAAGACTTTTGCATCATTTAGTAATGAAAAATAAATAAAACATACCCATCAACAAGAATTAAGCAATTTGATTCATTATTCGTTATAATGTCGTGAAATTGTAATAACTACTATTTTCTTTGTGATTATCATTTTCAAAAGGAGTATTTTACAGATTGTCTCTTTATATAGCATTATTATTACCTTTTCTTCTTAAATGATTTCATTTTTTCTTTGATATTGTTCATGTGTCAGCCATTTCTTTTTCTCTTTTCAATCGTTTAATTGATGAAGAAAATAATTCTCCCCATGTCGATTAATTTTAACATTTAAATGATAATTTTTTCATTTTACTAAAATGTATCTCCAACGATATTTTTATTTTATGATTGAAGATCATAATAGGTTGCGCAAAATGCGAGGTTAACAGCAGCTAATGCCTCATAATGATAGTTTTTCTTAAGCACAAAAAATTCAGTAATAATTGGAATTCCAAAAGCACTACGGCAACGAGAATATAGCAACGAAAAAATAATTGTTTCCACAGGAGACTATCTATGACACAGTTGGCGTAGTCATAATTTAATTTCTCTTTGGCTCCTTTTCTCCCAAAACACATAACAAATACACTTGTATGAATAGAAAACAACGAAAATTATTCGGCTAATTGTGGTTCTGCATATATAACAGACACTATAGTGAGGCACACTCTTCAAAAATAGATATACCGTCGAGCCTATATCCAGGAAGAATCTTTCAGGCTTTGAACAGATTTTCTAAATCTATAAAACATTCATCTAAGTGTTCGAAATCTTTTTTAAACTCGATAGTTCTGCAATAAACCTCAAAGTTTCTTCTTCTAGATATAGATTCGGCATAAAGCCTTTTTCTAGACTGTATATTTCTATAATTAGTACAGTTGTCTGAGCGGCAATATTAGTGACTTTCAGATCGAAGAATGTTATTTTTTTGAACACTGAATTACTCTTCATTCATCTTTAGGATACAAACCACCCCATCGACACACGATACAACGTAACATCAAACGGCTGCATGTAGTACATTTCAAATCGATGATGGATAATTTATCAAAAATTACATATATTGTTATTACTACCGAGTTTTGGAGTGATAAAAAACAAAACTCCTATTTAGTTTTAACCGGACATTATGTTGATGATCAATTTAGTCAACACACAATAGTCCTTCGATTGTTTTTGAAAGCGTCATTATTCATCTATTATTGGTCGTGTAATAGAAAAACAATTAACTGAACTTCAAATATTTGATAAAGTTACAACAATAACGTGCGATGGAGCACCAAACATAGTTGGTTTTTTTGATTATTTTAGTCGAACTGGTATTAATCGAATCAATGTATGGCTCATAAAATTCATTTAATAATTTGTAATTGATTAGGCATTTGGTTAAAAAAAGTAACTGTTATTCAAGAAAGTGATACAAATATGATTGATATTGATGAACATCTAAGCCAAATAGTTCGAACAATTAAAATCAATGAAGATATTGAAGATGAACAAGAAGAAGGCGATGATAATGATGATGATGAACAAGACGTAATTGTAATTAGTTGAAATATCCAACGACTAATGATCCCATTCTATTCGTACGTCCACTGTATTCTCACTATAGTCCATCTGATCCAAGTCTAAAAATTTTTCTAATTAAAGTTGAATCAGAAAAACTTCAATGCATATAATAATATATTTTGAAGTTTCCTTAATTTTTTTTTGTTTAACTCTAAAAGACTTTAATTTATTTAGAAAAAAAAGGAAACAGAAACAAAACTCTTTCTGACTATAATATCTAAATCTAGTTACCATTGAATATGTATCTAATAAAATGTAACTGGTTGGGTCCGAACTTGAAAAATTTTAATCAGTCAAATCCGGATCCAAATATTTTTGGACTCGGTGGACCCGAATTCTGATTAGATACATTAGTATTGTTGTTCAATTAAGGTTAAGGCTTCTCCAGTATGATAAAAAAAGTAGAAATTATATCGTTCATAAGCTAGAACAAAGTGAGAGCAAGCAAAAGAAAATATTTTTCAATTCTATTCGGGATAAAGTAAATCAGAGAAGAAATCTGTGATAGAAATCTAAATTTAATTAGTATCCACTGATTTTATAAGTTTATATCAGCGGGCTATTTAGACATATTGGTCGTCATTTAAATCCTTCTTTATAATATATATCTGTTTTGTAGGATATTGAAGAATGCAATCAAGGTGATAGTGAATTAGAATCAGCAACAGCAGATCGTTCAACAAGTGATCAGCAAAGTGATGAAGACGAATCTGAAGATGAAGAAAGTGATCTGGAAGATAACTTCCAATATGGTGTAAACACCGATGATGATAATAATATATTACCAATTGAAATTGATCAAAGAGTTGGTGATTTCTTATTTTTATGTAGAGGACTTATTGATACAATCAATGGATCGGCAGTATTGTCTTTTTTTATTTAGTTTCATTCTTATTTTGATCCGAGAGGTTTGTCTCCCTTAAAAGCATCAGAAATAGCATCAATTGAACATGAGCTAAAACAAATAATAACTGACAATAATATACAAAAAGTAAATACTTCTCATTAAACATCATCATCAAGTACAACATTGAGGTGTGGGTGTGGGTGTAGCTGTGCATGAAAAGACTGAAGCTCACACCTACACCTACGCCTACACACCCACACCTACACCTACGCCTAC